TATAATAAATTACAAAACACCTACAAAACTTAAAAAAAAAAAAAAAGTCGCAGAGAGAGAAAAAATCAGTGCCATGATACCTATACAAGCAGGCAGGAATTGAAATTCATCTGGAGAGAAAAGTATCTATATTTTAAAACTTGATCCTAGTTTTCTGAATCTGTTATTAGAGCAAGAGGCTAATGAAACCAAAGTACATTTTGTTATAAAAGTCCCTGCAGCTGTAACTAGCCAGGCATGCCAAGGTGAACTATAATCGCAAGCAGAACAATGTGTTGTTACCCCACAACTTCATCTCAAATCCCAATCTCTTTAACTCTTTTGCTCTTTAACTTAGTTTCTTATTCTATTCCTGGCCTCCTGCCTTCTCTTGTCAGACAGAACCTCATGGTCTCTGGCACATTTAATTCCTCTTTTCCTTGTTCTTCTATTTCACTATGACTAGTAAGTACTACCATGACTATGGCCACCATCGCCATCACCACCATCACCATCACCACTATTGCAGCTACCATCACTTTGATGATCACCACCACCATCACCACAACTACTACTAATAATAAATATACTACTAATAAATATAAGAGCTAATTTTTATAGTGCTTACTACATGCCAGAGCCCTTGGGTGGTGATTAGTTGCTAACTGAGAGATTGGAGGTTCAAGTCCCTCTCAGAAGAAAGATCTGGCTATCTGCTTCTGAAGAATCAGCCCCTGAAAACCCTATGGAGCACAGTTCTACTCTGACACACATGGGGTCGCCATGAGTTGGAATCGACTTGATGGCAACTGGTATATATGAAGGATGTAACAAGTAATCCAGGCCTCCGGACTGGAAACCTTACAGCATTCTTCACTCCCTTCTCTGACCCACACCACTGAGTCCCACAGTCAATTAGTTGTAGCAGATTCCAACAGTCATTCCCCACTTCTTCCTCAGTTAAAAGGCAACTGTGAATTTATTCAGGAATTTGCCCTCAGGAAAGGTGATCCTGTCTCCAGATCAGGAGCAAATCATGAAAATTCTAAGGCAGTCATCTTATTTCCCTTGCTAGTAGTTTGGGGTGGACATGTGACAGTCTGATCACATGTCTAAATAAGAAAAAAAAAAAGCACACAGGAAGAGATACCCTCTTCTTCAACTGGGCATTGTCATGTCTGAACTTCTTATTATGTGAAATAATATCCTCATGGCTTAAGCCATTGAACTGGGTTTTCAATTTCTTGCAGTCAGAGACAATCTGTCCCTTCTCCATTTCCCTCACACAGGGCTATCTTCTTCTTACCCCCCTCTATTGCCTGTCTGCCTGGCAAACTCCACTTTAAGACAAAGCCTAATCCTCATCTCCGAGATAAGACAGGCTTATAAATTGTCACTGGATCTTGTATTTATTTCCATCTAACTCTCCATTAGACTATGAGATCCTTTATCTTTGATTTCTAGTGTTTAGATGTTTGTTGAATGAATTAATGAATGATGGAAAGGATTATTTTATATCTTTGTTCATATTTGGGTTCTCTCAAGATTTTTTATAATACCCAATGATAGTTCATGGAATAGAAACAGCTGTTTACAAGAATGATAATAAACTTGGATGAATTCACTATTGAGCACATAGAGGTTATGCCTGATGCACATTAACCCACTTAGGAATAGAGAAGAGTTAAAAGTAGAAAATGTGAATAGGTTCAGAGAGGATGGACTAAAGAAAACTACTCTGAAGATTCATTTGTGAAAAGTGTCACGAGTAACAAAAAGGTGTTAATCCTCTGTATCAATGTAGCCTTCAAGAACAGACCTTCTAAGCTCTTTGGTGCTAAGAAATGTACTGCTCAGAATGACTTATTTTCTTCCAGAAGGTAACCTCCACTGGATGTTTCCCAAGACTTAATTTAAAAGGGTAAAATTTTTGGGGAATAACTCCAAGGTAGTATTAGCAACACACTTAAAATATCAAGTATCAAGAAATGTTAGAAGATACTATCTACTCTCATACCTAGACTCTATGTCAGCACTGTTTGATAGAACTTTCTGCAATGATGGAAATGTTTTATACTGCACCATCCAGTATGGTAGCCACTAGACATATGTAGCTATTGAGCACTAGAAATGTGGTTAGTGTGACTGAGGAACTGAATTTTTATTTAATTAATTTAAGTTTAAATAGCGACATGTAGTGAGTAGCTACCATATTGGACAGCACAGGTCTATGGTTAACATGTCCATCAAATAGACAGGATAGGATAGGGTATACTGCAGTAACAAATAATCCCAAAATATTAGCGGCTTAAAACAGTAAAGTTTTATTTCTTATTCCTACTACATATTCATCGTATGTCATCTGGAGACTCTGTTCTGCATTTCCTCATTCTGGGATCAGGCCACCATCTTGAATGTTGATGGTCACTGTAACAAAGGAGATAAAAACAGATATAGAGGGTCTTGCACTGGCAATCAAATGACTGCTTGGCTCAGAGGTGGAACACATCACTTCCACCCAAAATTCATTGGCCAAAGATTCTATAGAAGAATTGGGGGAAAATGTAGAACAGAATTTTGAATTCTTATGGAGTCCAGATTTTCTGGAGCCATGTAGGCTGGTTGAACGCCTGAAACTATTGCCCTGAGAGAATCTTTAAACTTTAAACCAAAAATATCCCCTGAAGTCTTCTTAAAACCAAACAATAGTTTAGCTTAACAAGTAAAAAATGTCTGCCTTGAGCATTGTGCTATTTTAAGATATATCTATATGGAATCAAATTGACAACAGCAACTTGAAGGATTAGATAGGCACCTTAGGGGGCAGTGAGTTTATGTTAATGGAGGAGGAATAACTCAGAAAAGGAGAGTGAGAATGGTTGTGCAGCTCAGGAAATGTAATCAGTGTCACTGAATTGTGCATGTAGAAACTGTTGAACTGGTGTATGTTCTGCTGTATATATTCTCAACAACAACAACAAAACTAAAATAAATTATAAAAGAAAAGAAGAAGAAGAAGAAAGACCTGGTGATGTAATTTCAAAAAATCAGCCATTGGAAACTCTGTGGAACAGAGTTCTTTTCTGACACACATGGGGTTGCCATGAGTCAAAGTCAACTGGACAGCAACTGGTTACCTTTCTTTCTAATTTGACTACAAATTTTTATTCCCAAACAATATATTGTTTAGTTTTGCATATTTTGTACTTTATGTAAATGGAACTATTCTGTATTTTTTTCCAAAGGGGGAAAAAGTCATTGGCTAGAATTAACCGCAGGGCACTCTCCACCTACCAGAGGGCCAGGAAGTGTATCCAATTATGTAGTCTGTGAGACAGAAATATTAGAGGAGTAGCACTAATGACTAAATAAGTAAGCACCACAAAAATCACTAATACATTTAATTGAACACAAATAAATTGCATTTTTAAAAGTCAAGTTTGTGTCCATACAAAGGAATCAACAAAAAACATGAGGAAAAAAATATGCTCAAGTCCAGGAATGCTCCTTTCACAAAATCAAGGAAGGGAAGAAGATTTAAATGATGTTTTGGTGTCTTATACATAATTTTTATTAAGCTTTTGAATAGGTAAATCCATTAATTAAAAGATAAAAAGAAAGAAGCACTAGCATAATTTATATTGAATTATAATTTAAAGAGGATAATTTTATCAATTTCCATTTTTGCTTAAAATCCTTTTTTTTAAAAAAAGAAAATGATATTGAGTCTACCTATTCTTGCAACAATAGAATTTTAACACAATTCAAAGTGTAGTCTGTGCACAGGTGAGACAGTCATTCAAAAGTCAACATCAGAGAATCTTGGAATTAAATGAAATCTTGGAGGTCAGGTATTCTAATCTCCAATACGGGAATCCCTCCTACAGCATTCCACATCTTCCGGGATGGAGAGAAAGGCCACTACTGTTATGGGAATTCATTCCATTGGTGGACAGGTGGGACTGTTGGGGAACTCTTCCTGCTGCATCAAAAATAGCATTCCTCGGTGTTCAGTCTGTAGGTCTTTTCTGCAGCCACCCCAAGCAGGGCCAGCCCCTTTGCTGTGAAATCCCTCGACCATCTGGAGGGAGTTACTCTGCCCCTTGGGTTTTCTCTTTTTGTGGCTAGACTCTCCATTCCTTTACCCTTCCTCCTTGCGTCTTGGTCCCCATGCCCTCTATTCCCCTGGTAGCCCTCCTGAGAGCATGCAGCACAGAGTAGGAGTGGGGGTGGATATAGACTTTGGGGCCAGAGAATCTGAGCATCGAGTCCTATTTCTAGTTACTGTCAAGTTGCCGTGCCTTTTTGCTAGTAGTAGAGCGCTTAACTGTTTGCGCCACCCAGGGAGCCTGGCTACTTAGATTTGATTCTCAGTGATCTTCTCTGTGAAATGGGGAATAACCAAACTTATGTCTTAGTCTTGTTAAAAGGCTCAAACAGGGTAATATCTATATACCAACAGGTGCGCAATAAATATTTACTTCAACATGACATTTCTTTTAAAATATGATGTGTTGAATTGAACATTGTAATAGTTTAGATGTGGTCTGATCAGTAAAGAAAACTCCTTATTTCCCTTCTCTGGCACACGATCTTTTTCCTTCATTCATGTAGCCTAAGAGTATTAACATTAGCTTTTGGGAGCAGCCAGCTCATATTATTAATTCATATTGTAATTAAAAGTACCAATTTCCACTAAATCACAGTCTTACTTATGTTGTTGACATTTTAAACCCTATAGTGTAAGACTTTAAATCAGATGAAATTTCATAAGAATAAATGCCATTTTGGCTCATTGCTCCTTAGCTTTCAGCAAGGCCTCAGTGTTTTGAATAATGATCCAGTACATGCGTCAGCTGCCTCTTCAAGACTTGTGTACTCTACAAATTTTATACGCATGTGATTGCTGGGGAAACCCTGGTGCCGTAGTGGTTAAGAGCTACGGCTGCTAACCAAAAGGTCAGCAGTTTAAATCCACCAGGCGCTCCTTGGAAGCCCTATGGGGCAGTTCTACTCTGTCCTGTAGGTTGCTATGAGTCGGAATCGACTCGACGACAATGGGTTTTTTTTTGATGATTGCTGGAAAGATCATAGACATTGGAGTAAAACAGATCTGTATCTTAGCTCTGGCTTACTCCTATGTGGAGGAGTTATTTAACTTCTCTGAGCCTCAGTTCCCTCTACCGTAAAATGGAAGTAATAAGTTAATACTAACAATACTTACTTCAGCGAGTCGTATGAATACGTTTTATATTTTCTCTGATTTTATTCAAGTGATTAATAAAAATATTTGACCAGGATGGGACTCAAGCCTGAACCCTGTGCCACAATACTATCAATTTTTCTCTTGGTGGAATAACCACCATTCTTTAAGCACACGTATCTTCCCCTTCAGCCAGTCCACACTGTTTCATCTTGTCTTCAGGCATATCTGGTCAGGTTTTGTCAATTACTTTAGGAGAACCAAGATATTAAGGTAGATTTCTTTGGACTATCCGTATGAGTTTTTCTTTCTTCCATCTCAGACTCTGGGTGCACAGTTACTACTTTTTAAATTCTCTGTTAAAAAGTTCCTCCTTGTTCTTCTAAAGATATATAAGGTTCTCTGGTTTCCAGGCTACTATATTTCCTGAGTAGATGATCTTTAGACAGACAGTAATACCAGAAGTAATTTGAGTTTCTTTTAGCTTCTTTTAGAAGGAGTCATTGCAGTAAATGGTATACATGTTAGCTGAAGCAGATCTCTCATTTTACTTGAGGACGATGTGTGTGTGTGTGCACGTGTGTGTGTGTGTGCACGTGTGCGTGTGTGTGCACGTGTGCGTGTGTGTGCACGTGTGCGTGTGTGTCTGGTGGCGCAACACAGTTAGAATTACATCTCTGGAACTCTTTGCTCCTGTCTATCCACTCAGCATCTCCACCATCAAATCAGGGCTTAGATTTCTCATCACTTTTGTCATCATCATAGACAATTAGGAATCAGTATAAGGAGAGAGCCTGAAATTCAATTCTAATCAGCAGCTCAATCCAAACTCCTAAAACCCGGCTGGGGTGGGATGAGGGTGTAACTGGGGTTCTGATAATCCTGTTAGTAATGGGAGAAGCGCTCCCTAGGAAATCATAACAAATAGTCTTAAGCAAGTCCTTTTGTTGACAACTTTATCCAAGAAACCATCTCCCCTGGAGATTTTTCTAAACTTTAGACTAATCCTCTCCTTGCCACAGAAGTCTTTTTGTTGTGGGAAATTGTAAGTGAACACAGGAGTGACAGGCTTCTCTGTAAGCACCAGCTCTGCCTCCAAATTCTTTCAACTGGCAGTTTCCCATCTGTCCTATTGGGAAACCGACCTTCTGGCCCAGGGATCCATCAAATGAAGAAATGGATGGAATTATTCAGAAGCCCTGTTTTCAAGCTATCTCAGTCTCTGTCAGATTTTTGGGCCAATCACAGATCCAAAATGTTAAATTCTAGGTGAACGACAATAGCAACAACCTGTACTGTTGCTTTGAACATAATGGTTAAAATATTCCAGGTCCCAGATGATGGCATAAAATCCCTTGTCCAGTGTGTAGTTAGCTTTCAAATTTCTTCATAAGCTGAAGCAAATGAAAACTGAAACAGCAGCAAAGAAGCCCTAGATGTGAATAAAGAATAAACAAGATCAAAATAATGAATAGTATAGTACAGACTGAGTAAGGAAAATCTGTTAAACTTGGTCACAAAGTAATTGATGGAATTCTGTACAGATAAAAAAGATGATGATAAATTGTAACAGAGGTAGCTTCTTGCCCCTGGTAATGACAACTAAGAAAGCTTTAAAAATAATTAAAATCTATCTTCGTGTGTGCAAACTACAGTTGTAACTCACCACAAAACAGGCCAAGCTTTGAAAGATGTGTAAAGTGCCTACTGTAGCACTGGTGCGTGGTACATATACTACCCAGTAAGCTTTAGTTCCTCTCCAGTTCTATGTTGGAAACATCGGTATACATTTTTTTTCATACCTGAAACTGACATTTGAGGATTAATGTCTCAATTTTGAGGCATTGCTGCCAGTTGCCAAGTCCTAATGCCCCAATTTACATTTTGACTCTTCTGAGAAGTGAATATTTTAACATAAATTCAATTTAGTGGAAAAGATTTATAGACCCCAAGTGTCCGTGTGATTATCGCTTTCATTCTCTTTAACTCCAGCACTCCCAGATTTTGCTGATCCCAAGCCATTTATTAAACAGTTTAACTGCTCTAGCTTTTCCCGATCGTGGTTCATCTCCTACGGGTTTTATCTCCTTACATTACTACCAAGGGCCTAGGGATATCATGAGATTACTCCAATAGAGGCTAAATCTGCCTCCTCCCCTCTTCAGTTGCTGGCACAGGCACCAAGCTTGACACACTGTAATTAATTGATTTTCTATTATGACCAATTTATATCTACAGGTAAGAATTCTTCGTGCAAGCCCACCATAGATCAGAGAGAAAGCATTATCCTCCCACCTTCTGACTGCTTAGTGAAACAATTTAACAACAACGAAAGAAATAATAATAATGCTTATTGAGCACCACCATCTAAGACCATTCCATCAGTGTCTTTGATAACCATCATCTTATGGAGGACAAACCCTTCACTTCGTAGAAAAGAGTGGTCCTGTTCTTGTAAGTGTGGCTTTAAAATGGCATAGTTACACAGTAAAAGCTCTGCTCTAGAAAATTAGTTTTCCTTGGGAAACACCAAATTATTGTGTCGCCAATTTTAATTCCAATTGAATATTAACAAAATGCAAACTTTGGTATTTCATAAAATGCCCTGGGAACAGCCATAATTCCAAACTCCTCTCCTCTTCCCACATGTCTAAATATAGTGATCTTAGAAGAGCCAGAAAGCATCTATTTTTGTTGTATATATGCCTTTAAATAGTGACAGTCAAAGATAGAGACCCAAGAGAAAGTGTCGAAGAGCTGACACCTGCCCTGTGAATGAAGTCAGGTGTGAATGTGTAGGGAGTATGCCAGTGGTTACCTTCTAGGCCCCAAAGGTATGATTAGGAAGCATGGCCAAGCAGTGGTTGCCAAAGGGATAGTCAAGCCATAGTGCTTGTTGTTTAGGATATGGCCAGGGTTACCTAAAGGCCTGGCTAGCTGTCTCTGTACATGGGTTCCACCTTGATTACTGTATGTAGATTAATGTCCCCTCCCATCCAGCATGGAAGACCCAGTATGAGAAGAATTCTTGAAACATCTAGGAGTGCCTGTACTATGGTGGCTTTTGGAGTTTTGTCACCTGGCTTCCTGTGCCTGCCAGAAGACCTGCTTTTAGGGAATAGTAGCTTTCAGAAAATCCTCCATAGCACCACTTCCTCCTCAAAATTATCTTGGAAAGCTAGGCTGCCCTAGGCTGGCTGAGAGGACCCATAAGAGCAGCTGCATCTCTGACATATATGATGGCTTCTGCCTCCCCCAACGGGGCCTTGTCGTCCCCAGCACTGACCCGAAATGAGAGGACTTCCTGTGACCAACTGTGCAGAAGGTGTAGCCTGAGAAGCCTGCAGTATTGAAGTCTGGGTTCTCACTGGCCTTTAAAACCACCACCTGGATGGGGCCAAAGACTCTTTGAACGAGATCTTCTCTGGCATCTGGGGGCAGGCCAGGTGGTAACTTGTATCACTAAGGTAAGCAACCATCTGATTTACCTGAGACTGTTCTAATTTTAACAGTGGAAGTCCCACATCCCAAGAAATCCCTCAGTCTTGGGCAAACTGGGAAAGTTGGTTCCCCTACTGATTTTTGTCATAACCACTGACAGAGTGAACTAGCTAGTTAAGGGAGCATAATGTCTGTTCTAATCCTTTATTCCACATGTTTCAGCTGAAGGTCCCACTCAACCCACTGTCAATTCCAACTCATAGCAGCCCTATAGGACAGAGTAGAACTGCCCCACCCGGGTTTCCAAGGAGCACCTAGCGGATTCGAACTGCTGACCTTTTGGTTAGCAGCCGTAGCTCTTAACCACTACACCACCACAGTTTCCGAAGATCCCACAGTGTTCTGTAAATTCTCTCAGGAGCCTTCTCACCCCTCTGGGAGCAGGGGAGACAGGTAGGTGATGCACATTATTATCCTTAAACAGCTCAGGAAATGGAGGCCGGAACAGCTAGGCCACCTGTCCCAGGAGTTGGAGATGAAGAGCCAGACACAGAAGAGAGGAGCTCTGAGTCGGTGAACAATGTCCTTTCCACCTGGCAGCGATTACTTTTCAATCCCATCCACAAGGAGCCTCAATTGTTGGGCCGACACTTGCCTGGAAGGATCCTGGTGATCTCCCCCTTTCTTTTCACCAGCATTTGCTAAACTGGGCTGGGTGGTGACCTTTCCGGTAGGAGGCCAAAAGGTCACACATTTCTGGCTTTAGTCTCACTCCTGAAACTGTAAACAAAGACTCCTCTGTAGGGAGGAAAAGAGAAAAGCACCAACATATTATTTCCTGGGGGCTTTCACAGTGTATTTCTTATGTCTGTTGTAATACGTGTCACTGAGAGAGAAGTCAAAATAAGAGCCAGACTTATTTACCAATAATTTATACTGACTTATGTATAACTGACTCCTTGGCATAATATTAACTCCCTCCGCCATCTGGTTCCAACCCATTTTTGCAACTTTGTCTTCTAGTCTATCTTGTTCTAATCATGCACGATTACTTGTGGTTCTCTCAAACCTTTCCTTCCTCCATGATTTAGCTCATGCTGATCCCTCAGCCAGGAATATCCTCAGTTATATGAGTCAGTTATACATGAGTCAGTATGAATCTACTAATAGTTGTCAAGTGGCTCCTATTCAACTCAATTCAATACATATTTACTGAATGAATACTTGGGCAACACATTATGCTAGGTGTTGAAGATAGTAAAAACAGGAATAGAACTGTGGGAGACACGCATACAAACTAACCAACAAGGGTCAAAAGTGAGGTGCAAACAAAGAATTATGACAATCCCCACCCCATCCCGAAGTCTACTAAGGAACATGGGACAAGCACAGACAAGGTGCCATTTGAGTCTTGAAAGATGACTATGCTCTCTATAGTCCAGGACCTCCAGGGAGGATATTCCTGGCTGAGGGATCAGCATGAGCAAAGGCATGGAGGAAGGAAAGCGTTTGAGAGAACCACAAGTAATCGTGCATGATTAGAACAAGACAGACTAGAAGACAAAGTTGGAAAAATGGGTTGGAACCAGATGGTGGAAGGAGTTAATATTATGCCAAGGAGTCTAGACTTTAGACTTCACGATATTAGGCAATAAGCATAATGCTGGGCTAAATATGTTTTTGAAAGTCTCAAATCCTGTCAACTATAGTAGGCAACCTATTTAAATACTCTGAAGTGCAACTTCTGTAAATTAAAAACAATTTTTTTTTAAAAATATGTATACCGGCTTGGTCCTCAATTCATGTATTTGGTTAGTTCAAATACTGGAAGTGTCCATTTTTATAAATGCCTCTTAGTCCCATTGTTCCTGGGTGCTTACTATACTAAAGCTATGGACCAAGCCCTCCAAAAGCTAACATTTTAAGGGGCTTATCAGGCAAATGGGGATAATAAAATCTTCCTGGCAGATTGCTGTAAGTTTAATGAAGATAATACATGTGAAAACAAAACAAAACACAAAAAGAAACCTTGCATTGTTCCTGAGAAACAATAAGTTCTTAATAAACAGTAACTATTATTAAAAGGAACAGCAACATAATTGAGAAAAACAGCAAGAGGCAGGGGCCTCATTGTCACCAAAGCACATTTATAAAACCTGCTCAGGGCATCCTTCCACTGGGGCATTGCTTTTCTAAGGTTCTCAACCTGAACAAACCTAGGTTGCTCCATGTGTTAAATATTGCACAATGTAACCAAATGAAAAGCTTCTAGCTCTGAAGCACTGACAGTGTAAAATGTCTTCATGATATTGTTTACTGGAAGCTGCTCAAAGCCCAACCGGAGAAATGAACCGGCAATGCCGGCTCTGCCTCACTCTGCGTAAACGTCTGCCTTAGATGCTGTGGGTAATCTGTCGCACTGACTCCTTTGGTTTAAAATTACATATTTGCTAGGCTGGAAAGGGAAGACATCAAGTTGCCTTGCCAAAATAAACAGTGTGTACACTTTAAAGATTACTCTCAAATCAACTCAAGTCCAAATCATCTTGGGAACTTCTCTCAGGGAGAAGCGTCCTCTTGCCTTGGGGACAGTGGCGTGAAGGGTTGGGATTTTCCTAAGGCTTTCTTGCCTCTCGAAAGCAGCAGCTCCCAGACTGATTGAGAGAGAGAGAGAGAGAGAAACATTATCTGGCAGAACAGCGCTGGGAAAGCAACCAGTTAATCAAAAGGATTCCAATCTGGCCGTGGACTGCCACACTCTCCTTCCCAACATATAGAAAAAGAAAAAGAAAGAAAAAAGCAGTGCAGCGACTCTCCAGCAATCTCACGAATGTAAAAGCTTCCACTCTGGTGACTCCTCATTAGCTTACTGAATCTGACAGCATAATTATTGCAGCTGCTTCTCGCTTAGAATAAATAAATACGAAAGCGGGTGTTTAAAAATTTTTTGAGAAGACGAATTCAGTCATCTAGACAGTAGGACAAATTTATTTAAAACTTTTAGATTCTTAACGTATTTAGATCATTTCAAGAACAAGATAATGAGATAGTTGTCTTTCAGTCTGATTGAGTTTCTAAGCTCGTTTGGCTGTTGGCAGTCACCCCTTTCAAACTTTGCTTTAACTTTCCTTCCTTTAGAAATCTGATCCTGGTGTCTCCATTTACTCCTCCTGGGCTGATAACCTGGTGAAGGCTTGGTGCACTGGAGTGCAGAAAGTGACCTAATGGGATTGAGGAACTAAATAACCTTTCACAGGAAACAAGATAATCAAACCTCTTACTTGCCTGTAATGGCTAAAAGGGAAAGCACAAGTTAAAAAAGAAAGGCTGGAAATCAAACTGTCATTCCAAAATGTCTGGTAATTTCCCTTGTCACATGGTCTTTGTGCTACTCTCACACCATCGATCCACCAGTCAGAGAGCTTAGTGCATTGAATTATTCAGAGTGCACACATCCTCGTGATTACGCGGTCATTTTAGCTCATGTGTATGTATATAGACTTCATAGCTTCAAAGCCCAAAGGATCACACAGCACTTCAAATCAAAGTTGCTAACTAACACAGAGTGCACTTAAAACTCTGACTAGGGGCACAGCACATATGCATTTCCGATTAAAGCAGATGATCTTTCCTTTTAAAATTAATTAGTGCCTATTTATCTTTTCTTCTCGCTCCTGCCCTTCGCTCTCCCAGGACTGCATTCAGATGAACGTTTGCATTCAGTGAGTTAAGAGCTTCATCAAATAAACAGTCTGTCAATCTGGGGTGAAGGAAACTAGTATTAACTCATTGTGCAGATGGAGAAACTGAGGCTTACAAAGGCAAATAATGCACGTTAAGTTGGAAACAGAAGAAAACTCAGGTCCTTTAACTCCCAACCCAGAGCTCGGACCCTCTGTACCATTTTTCTCACTTTATTTTTTTTTTTAACTGTAAAGATAATATAACACCAACATTAAAGAAAACTTTGAAAAAGGAAAAGAAATCATCCATCATCCCCCTATGGTAGAAGAGTATTTTTATTTTTGTAAGCTAAATTTCAGTTTTGTTCACATGCATAACATTTTCACAGGTACACTATTATATGCAATTTTGAATTCTATTTTCTTTTAGCTCATGTCATAGCATAAACGTTTCCCTATTATGAAATGGCAGCTACTCTTATTATTACCTGGCTGTCAGTGACTCATCTATATAATGAGAATATGGAATAGCTAATCTCTAAAATCCTTTTCCACTATTAGAGGCTCAAATGCTTTCCTGTATGGTTTATCTTTATTTGGCAGTTCTTTTGGCCCATGAGGCTAACAAATTTAACTAACTTAAGGGCTTGGTAGAGTTGGGGAACTTGCTTTACCAGACTTCTAGCAACATAGCTCTATGCAACACCACAATCATCTCTCAACTTAATGTATGGGAATGCGTTGAGGACAACTTTGAACATAGAAGGTAAAGAATTATGTTATGGAGGATGCTTCCTAACTTGCTTCTCACTGACTAGTACTGATTAATAGAGGATTTAAAAGGTGGAGCGAGTGGCCTTAGTTAGATTACAAACTCCTGTAATCAGCACAGGGTCAAGAGAACTGGCTCAGAATCTCCCTTCCCTCTTCTCCATCAACCCCTAACCCCTGAAAACCAGCCTTGTGGAATGACAAAATTCTGAATAAACTTTAAATACACCAAACGAAAACCAATCCAGTTGCCGTCGAGTTGTTGAGTTGCTTCTGACTCATGACAACCCACGTGTTGCAGAGTAGAACTGCAACTCTATAGGATTTTCAAGGCTGTGACCTTTCAGAAGCAGATCACCAGGACTTTCTTCTGAGGTGCCTCTGGGCGGGTTCGAACAGCCAAACTTTCATTTAGTAGTGGAACACTTAACCATTTGCTCCACCCGGGGACACACTTTAATAGACTAGACAATAAAAGCAATAAACAAAATAGATTTGAAATCCTGAGGAAGCATACAAAGAACTAGACTAAGTTTCATTAGTACATGTTAAAGAATGTTTAAATTGTTGCAAGAAGACATAATGATAAAAACTACCATGGTATATGTGTCAGCAGTGTGCCATTGTTATTAAAAAGAAGACAACTTTCAGAATGATGTTAGACAGTATCAGGTGGAAGATGACATTCCTCTGCTTGGAATGTTCTTTCTCCCTTACCGTCTAGATCCCATCATCTTTCCAGACCCACTCACAAAGGCATCCTCCGTCTCCCAGCTGGAGTTAATTTTGCCTCTTTTGAGCGCCCAGAGTACTTCATATGTATTTACTTGAGCTGCAGCTGTTTATTTGCTTGTCTCATTTCCTTAAGGACTGTAAGCTCTTTGAAGACAAGGTCCATGGCTAATTCATTTTTGTGTCCCTCACAATATCACACCCAATAGACACTCAGTAAATATTCAATGAACGACCAGACCAGCCAAACCTGTTGCCATCTAGTCAGTTCTGACTCATAGTGACCCTACGGGGCAGAGTAAAACTGCCCCGTATGGTTTCCAAGGAGTGGCTGGTGGATTCAAACTGCCGACTTTTCTGTTAGCAGCCAAGCTTTTAATCACTGTGCCATGAGGGTATTCTCCCACTGTGGTAGAAATCTGAGTCTATGCTGGGTGATTCAACAGGATGCAGAAATTATCGAACAATATCATTAATACCACAAGCAAGTAAAATTTTGCTGACGATAATTAAAAAATGGTTGCAGCAGTACATCGACAGGGACTGCCAGAAATTCAAGCCAGATTAAGAAGAGGATGTGGAATGAGGGATATCATTGCTGATGTCAGATGG